AGGCCGCGTGTGCCCTCCACCCCCGCGCCCCGGCCCCATCCCGACACTCCAGGATCGGCCCCGGAGCGAGCTCCGCACCGCCGGGCAGGGCCTCCCGCAGGCCCGGAAACTCGCAGCTTTCTTCCCAAGGGCTCCACCGGGGCGGGGCGCATGGGGGAGCCCGGGGCAGCCCAGAGCTCAGCTTCCCGAGCACCCCCAGTTTACAATCGGACCGGAGAGGAGCCGCCCGGCCTGGCAGCCGGGGCGACCAGGGGAAATGCGCCCCTCTTCCCTGCGGAAGGCGGCGGCGGAGACGCACAATGGCGACATCGAATAGAAAAGAGAAACGAAATGGGGCCCCGGGCGGATCGGCCGGTCTTGGGGAGGAGGGGGAGAGCTGGGTGCAGTGCGTCGGCTCACCTGCGGGCCCCCCGCCCCGCTCCCCGCCCCGCAGAGCCCGGGCCCGGCCGCCAGCCCTCGCTGCGCCCGCACGTGCACAAGCAGGCGGAGAAGACGACCCGCGTGCGCACCGTGCTCAACGAGAAGCAGCTGCACACGCTGCGGACCTGCTACGCCGCCAACCCGCGGCCCGACGCGCTCATGAAGGAGCAGCTGGTGGAGATGACCGGCCTGAGCCCGCGGGTCATCCGCGTCTGGTTCCAGAACAAGCGCTGCAAAGACAAGAAGAAGTCCATCCTCATGAAGCAGCTGCAGCAGCAGCAGCACAGCGACAAGACGGTGAGGGGGCGGGGGGGCGGGGGTCCGCCCCCTGCGAGTCCCCCTCCCAGGCCCTCTTTCTGGGGGGGTTCAGGGGGAACCCGAGTTTTGCAAATCACGTGGGTGTTTGGATCATCCGATCCAGCTTTGCTTTGAGAAGAGAGAAGGCTGGTTTATTTTTTGTTGTTGTTGGTCGTGGGGCCTGAACTCTGGGCCTGGGCGCTGTCCCTCAGCTCTTCAGCTCAAGGCTGGCGCTCTACTGCTTGAGCCACGGCACCACTTCCGGTTTTCTGGTGGTTCATTGAAGAGTCTCATGGACTTTTTCTGCCCTGGGCTGGCTTTGAACTGTGATCCTCAGATCTCAGCCTCCTGAGTAGCTGGGATGACAGGCACAGGTTGTGTTTGAGGTGTGTGTGTGTGTGTGTGTAGGTGTGTAGATGTAGATGCAGGGGTTTGGCTCCTCCCTGAGGCAGCCTGGTGTTGGGGGACCCCGGGGCGGGGGCGCTCAGGGAGGAGCCGGGGTTTCCGAGCTGTCCCGCGGAGGGCTGGGGTTGGGGGCGCAGGCTCTGCCCGCCCCAGCCCAAGGCTGGGTTCCCAGGGTCCTGGTTTGTGGGTGCTGAGCTGGGGTCCGTGTAGGGTATGCACTCCCCCAAACCACTGCAGGCCCCAACCCTTCTTCAAACCTAGTGGAAAAGGCCAGACCTGAGCTCGGTTCCCTCCTCTGTCCCCATCCCCTCTCGCAGAGCCTGCAGGGCCTGACCGGGACCCCGCTGGTGGCCGGGAGCCCCATCCGCCACGACAGCGCGGTGCAGGGCAGCGCCGTGGAGGTGCAGACCTACCAGCCGCCCTGGAAAGCGCTCAGCGAGTTCGCGCTGCAGAGCGACCTGGACCAGCCCGCCTTCCAGCAGCTGGTGAGGCCCGGCCCAGCCCTGGGCCCCCCCCCCCGGGCGGAGGGGCGGGCAGGGAGTGGCGGCGGAGCCTGGGGGACCCGGCCTGCCCACCCCCACCCCGGCTGCTCCCCAGCCCGGGCAGGCCACCACCCCGTGTTCTTCCCGTGTCCGCCCGTCCCCAGGTGTCCTTCTCCGAGTCCGGCTCCCTGGGCAACTCGTCCGGCAGCGACGTGACCTCGCTGTCCTCGCAGCTCCCGGACACCCCCAACAGCATGGTGCCCAGCCCCGTGGAGACGTGAGGCGGACGCGCCGCTCCGCCGCCGCCGGCGCGGGCCTGCATGCTCCCCGCACGAGACTCTCCCGCCCCGCCCGGGCCCGGGGCGGCTCCGGACGCTCTCTCCGCGCCTTTGTCATTAATTATTGTTATTTAAAGAGAGAGAAAAGAGAGAGAGAGAGGAGAGAGGAGAGAGAAAGCTGCGTGGAGCAGCGCCAGGGCGCCCCCAAGCCCCCAAGCCCGCGGGCCTGGGCTCCCAGGACTTGGATTGTTTTATTTTTATTTTATTTTTATCCCCCCCCCCCGCCCACCTCCTTCTCCAAAAGCAGAATTCGGGGCCGGCCGGTGGCGCGCGCCCCGCCGTCACGCTAGCTGCTCAGGAGGGCTGAGCTGTGAGGATCGGGGGGCGGGGGGGGGTCCCCAGCCAGGCCAGGCCGGGGGAAGCGTGTGAGACGCTGATCTCCAACGAACCAGCAAAAAAAAAAAAAAACCCAGCTGGAAATGGAGCTGCGTGGCTCAAGTGACAGCAGCCTGGGGCGGAACGCTGAGGGACAGCGCCGGGTCCGGCCGGCACAAGACGAAACGATTATATACATATATACACATATATATGCGGACATATATGTGCATATATATATATATATATGTTCTGGGCTTTGCCCGGGCCGCCCGCGCCCCCTCGGCCCCGACCCGCGGGGTCCCCCCCACTCCCAAAGCGCACGATTGCTGGAGGCTGGGGGTGGGGAGATTAACCGAACAGAGCCGGGACCCTGAGAAATGTGTTAAATGATGACTCGCCGGAGGACCGAGCGCCTGAGCCTTTGCCGAACAAACGTAAGTTATTGTTATTTATTGTCGCGGACGAATATTTTGATCTTAATAAAAAATAACCATCACCACCACCACCATTATCATCATCACCCGATGCCGAGCGGCCCCGGCGGCGGCGCCCGGGAAGGCTGGGGTGGTTGTTTTTTGGTTTCCCCGGAAAGTTTTGTTTCCAAGGGTCAGGGAATCCCGGTCCCCGCTGCGCGCGCGCCGGAGCCCTGAGCTCGGGCCCGGGACTCCCGCGCCCCCCCCCCCCGCGACCAGGGGCGTGGCCAGGGCGTGGCCGCGGAGGGATTGGACGCCGAGCGGGATGGGGGCGTGGCCTGCGGGGAGGAAAGCTGGGCGCGCGTGCCCGCGACCTCGGCCTTTCCGGGAGTGGGAGGAGCGCGCGCTCCTGCCAGGATACCCGGGAGCCGGGCGGGCGGGCGGGCGCCCGAGGGTGCGCCAGGGGACGGGGTTTGCGCGGGAGATCCGCACGCTGGTGGCCACGCGCGCCCCGGGGGCTTGGCCGTCCCCGAGTTTGGAGGGGGAAGGATCTTCCACTTCTCCCTGAACTTGAAGCCGGAGCTCTCGGTTCTCGCCACTCCTCACCTTCCTTGCATTTCTCCTGGTCCACGATCCGTTTGCGAACGCGAAGGTTCCATGGCCGGGGCGGCCTGGCCCCTCCGCGCGCGTTCCCGGGCCCGCCGTGGGCGCGCGCGCGTGCGCGACTGGATGGTCCCGCTGCGTTTATTAATTCCCCCGTCTAGACAGAGGACGCGGCCGGGCGGCGGCCCCTTATCTGCCTCTGGCATCACCTGCAAGCGATACACCGAGCGAGCCTCCGCCGGCCCCGCGGCCTGCATCGCCCTCGCGGCGGCCCGGGGAAGTCAGTCCACCAGAACCAGTCTGGCGTGTCCTCCGTTTATTTTCTTTCCAGACCCGAAATGGAAGGGGATGGGGGCGGGGGGGGGTGCCCGGGAGGAGGGCGCGCAGGGGCGGGGGGGGGCGGGGAGGAGGGCGCGCAGGGCCCCAGCGCCGCACCGCCGGGCCCAGGTCACCTGGTGTGACATTTCAACTCCTGCG